GTGCGCTTAGCATCTATATGATCGGCATTGATTATGTGGCAGCGGAGAAAGCGAATGGGAGGGTCTCCTGGCAGTTGTCGCCGAAGCCCACCGGAGCGTTTTCCGGCTGAATGCAGGTGTGCGGCACATGCAAATGAATGCGAGGCGGTCAACACGCATCGTGGTCAAAACGAAAGGCGCCATATTGCTGCTCCGGCCATGGAAGCTGAAGCGCGCAAAAAGAGTAATCCGACTAACAAACTATGGCAACGACTATGACGGAATCTGGAGATCGGATCGTGAAGTACCGCCGGCGTAAAGGCGCTGGACTTGAGGCCGAAATGAAGGTCGACTGCACAGGGCGTGGTGGAGACGAAAGGGGACAGCGCAGAAAGCGGCTAGACCGCATTGGTAAGCGACTAATGCTTAATCTCCACCCTCGGCAAAGTGGCGTGGCCAATGCCATTATCGATTCTGGAGCCACGGCGCCTCACACAAAGGACCGTTCGGTCGTGCAACACCGGCTCCGGCGCGAAAACAACATCAAGGGCAGGTGACGTCTTCCGTAAGCAAAAGACCAAGTGTGTTGTTTGGTTCACACAGGCTCGAGCGTGCGTGAACGGCGCAATGAGATGTTTGCAAAACTAAACATGCGCTGACGCACCCTGCAGATTCTGCAACACTGACACCGTAAAGACACTATTTCAGGAAAATGATCTCCAGAGGCTTTGCTGGGAGGCCCAAGTGCCGGTGGAGAACCTCTGTTCAACGGGCAACACGATAAGGGCCGCCCCTGAAGATACCCTGACGAGATCGCCACCTAGAGGCTCAGCTCGCACAGAGCAGAGGCCGTGAGGGCAAACGTGCCTCGCGATGTTCTCGAAATGGAAATGCTGCGTTCCTCCGCCTATAGCGCGTAATTAGAACAACAGCCGCCGGCCTGGGGATGGCGGCCTGTGTGTAGCAAGACGACAACAACACAGTCTGGACTGAACGACCAACACAGGCCGTTCATTTCTGCAACACGAGAAGCCACCGCGAGCCTCCACAGCCAACCTGCCGATCTGGTCTTAGCACCAGGCACGCACCGCCTGCGAGTGGCCAGCGGGGCGGCAGGCCAGCTTGGTTCCTGCATTAGCCCTGACATCCGCCAGACCACTTGCAGCGCCCAGATGCTTCGGCCCCTGTCGCCCGTCCTGTTTCCCCCTTTCAGTGGCCACTTGTTTCCGGTCCGCGCTACCGTGCTGTAATCTCCTGACGGTATATATCCAGGCAGCGAGGTCGCCTTGCTGTTTTTTCCACTTCACAGCCAAACTTTCGAGCTTCAAGTCCTTTGACCTTCGGTCGTCCATTCGTTGTTACCAACTAATACTATCATTAATAATACACACTCGCCAACTCTCTCCCACCACCTCCACCACCAACCAACACTTCCAACTCTACCGTTTCAAGTTCTAATACCCAACAATCAACATGCGTTACTCCATCGCCATCGCTGCCTTCGCCGGCCTTGCCGCTGCCGTTCCCCAATACGGCGCCTACCCCGCCGCCCCGGCCAGCACCCCCGCTGCCCCGGCCTACCCTGCCTACCCTGCTCAGCCCGAGTCCAGCAAGCCCGCCTACCCTGAGGTCCCTGCTGAGAGCTCCAAGGCTCCTGAGTACCCAGCCTACCCCGCTGAGACTCCCTCCGCTCCTGCTCCTGAGTACCCCGCCTCCAAGACCCCCGAGGTCCCTGAGCACGAGTCCTCCGCTATGCCTACTCCTTCGGCCTCCAAGCCTGCTGAGTACCCCATGGAGACTCCTTCCAAGCCTGCTGAGGTTCCCTCCGTCTCCACCAAGACCCCCGAGGTTCCTGAGCACGCCACCTCTGAGGTTCCCTCTTACCCTGCCTCCTCCATGACCCCTGAGGTCCCCGAGGCCGAGACCACCTCTTGCCTCAGCTCCACCACCATCACCGTCACCGTCCCCTACCCCACCGGTACTCCCGTCGTTCCTGGTGCTGGCAAGCCCTCCGGCTACCCCATGGTTCCCGGTGCTGGCAAGCCTTCCGGCTCTGCTCCTTACCCATCTGCCCCTGCCGGCGGTGCTCCCTACCCCTCTGTCCCTGCTGGCACTGGTGCTCCCCCTGCTGCCGGCACTGGCTACCCCACCAAGACCGGTGGCTACGTCAAGCCCTCCACCCCCGCTGAGTTCACTGGTGCTGCCTCTGCTCTCAACGTCGGTGGCTTCGTTGCCGGTGTTGGTGCTTTCGCTGCTTTCTTTTTGTAAATGTCATAACCTTCAATTGAGCCTGTCTACGGGCAGGCTATGACTTTACACGATACATTGCATCGAGGATTGGTCTTCACTTCAGTAGATATCCTTGGTGTCGGAAAGGGTAATTGTAATTAGTCCGGGGATGGTGTGGTTGAATAAGAACTTGGAAAATAATCTTTCGTGCCTCATGATCGTGACGCTTCTATGCAATCCTCTGAACTTGATGAAATGCAACATTGTCCCTCAATCCCCATCCACCTTTTCCTCTTGCTTGACTCCTAGTCTGAAAGGCTTTCCAATGGAAACCTCGAACCGATGCTAATTGAACTTGGACCTTGTGGCCTCTCAACGGTAGTCATGATCTGCTCTGGCATGCGATGTCGTCGCACATGGCTACACAGCGTCAGCTTATAGGCATGTCTTCTTTGCTTATGCTCCTGCGAACGTGCCTGCTTCTTTCAGTGCCGCAAAGTCAAGGATAGCGCTGCATGCGATGCGATGACGCATGACCGCCGTAGCGAATGCTGCCCATCGATTACTGCAAACTCTCGAGGTCGCTTCCTAAGAACACCAAAACTTCACCCCACGTTCTCTTGCACATCAACTTCGACCACCACCTCATCACGGACGGTGATGACCCTGCATGGCGATAATTGTTGGAAGCGTAGCCTGGAAGCTATGTTTCGGCCACGAACTATATTTCGATAGCCATGGTTGTTTCATCAGCCGTGCACCGTCGCCGCGCTGCGAACGCCACCCTCTACAGTTTTCAAGCTTTGCGCTAGATCAGCGCGCACCAGGGACATCTAGCATAGTTCCTTCTACGGGTGCTCGGTTCGTTGGCGCACGTCTAGTATCTGGATGCAGGAGCTACGACACGACCATGGAAACACAAAGAGCTAATTGCGGCATGCCGAATGCCTCCGACAGATGCCCTCGTCCAGCTTGAGCAGACTTACCCAGCTCTGAAAAGGCACATTTCAATACTGAACTGCATGACGGACGACTCCAACAGTCTTGGGAATGCTTAGTCAATACTCGCGTCAACGGGTAAAAGGTGGGGTTCCGGTATCCTTTGCTGCATGAAACGGCCAACCACCAATAGTACTCAAAAACATCGTCTAGACGTCTGACTTTACAGGAATGAGCGCAGGGTCACGATACTACCGCCCGAATCCAGAGCTTACCCAGCTAGCCACGTCTCACCTGAGAACCTACTCAGTCCTGCCTGACATTCCTGGCAAATCGTATGAATTGGAGGCGTCAGTGGGCTTGCCATTTTTGGAGTCAAGAAATATCTGCTTGTCAGCTTACTTTTAGATGATAGGTCCTTTGTTTCGGATGTGTAGGCGAGGATACGACTCGGTACGCGAACGTTGGACGATCGTTGCCTATGTGCGCGCCAGCCTGACGGACCTGAGCTGGAATAATGGTATGGAGAAAATGGGAAGTATAAAGTGAGAGAGTAAACTTCCTGAAGTGAACCACGCGTTCGCTTTTGTTTCTAGACCACCCATCTTACTTGATCGATTTATTAAAGCTATCGAATCAGATTCCCTCGTCTCATCATGAAGACCTTCACGCTTTTCTCGGCATTCCTGGCCACAGCCATCGCTGCCCCAGCCACACTTGCGCCAAGCGATATCACACCACGCACATTGGACGTCCTCAAGAGCCTTGCCAAATGTCCGGCAAACCCAGCTCAACCCGACGGGAAATTACCAAAGGGAAGCATATCGACCTCAGCCCTGGTGCCCATCAGCGCGAAGAGCCCCGACAAGGCCTACCCAGCTACCGAATGGGCGACCGTCACCCCAAAAGACAAATGCACAATCTTCAACCTCGAGCTCGACTCCGACGCCACCCAAGGCAAAATCTGCAACCTCGTCTTCGACTTCCCCTCTCTCGTCCAAGCACCCGGTCTCTTTGTCTTTAAGGGACCCGGGCATTTCACGTTCACTGGTTATGCCATCAACGCTGGTGCAGAGCCTGGTGTTACTACGTACAACAAGCAACCGGCTCCAGGTCCTAGCCCACCGAACCCTCCGGCAGTCATAAAGCCAGGCAACAGCTATGTTGTCAACGGTGCGCCGTGTGGAATCCCGCCTGGTATCGGAAAGGTGACTGTTAGTGGAGCGCTGTGTTCGGAGGACACCACGTTGACGTTCAAACAAAGCGATTTGATCTGTCCATTGGGCTTTTACGTTGTGCTTACTGATGATCCTAACGCGGGAGGGTATGCGGCTCCTCACTAAATATTTGGTGTCGTTCAATGATCATAAGGAGCATTAATTCAGTAAATTAGCGTAAAGACTCCAATTCATGTTTGCAAATTCCAACTTTGACATTTTCTCGCGCTTTCGTGAAAAAAATGGGGCTACAAGTAGCGCTGTCGGGTTCGCTCTTTCCCTACCGTCATTCTGCATCGATGCAACGCCATTATCGTCCGATCAACATCGTTAATGCCGTTATGAGGAGTGTGAAGAGATATACTATCTTGAGTATCGCAGCGATATGGACACGCATCGACGTGCATCGGAAGTCTCCGACACCCGATCGCTCTTGCGTGTTTGCGACGTTGCTCGGGGAAGCGTACTAACCCTATCAATCTCTACAGCGTCAAGAACTCGAATTGCTTTGTATCGATCAACACAACCTTCCGTTTGGACATTTTCGATAAGAAATTTTACTTCATATATCAGTTTCGAGGTCATTTGCGCATCTTCCTCTCATGTCAAGCTCATCTAACTACCTAGAGGCCCAAGATGGAAGCGCACAACAACACAACAATTGAGCGTCTCAAGAACGCGACCTGGTACTTCTTCGATCTCGACGACACTCTCCACGAATTTCGCAAGGCATCTTCTGCCGCCGTAGACGCGACACTCCACCTCATCCTGGAATACCACGCTCACCATAAACTTTCTTCCTGCAAGCCGCTCACAGTCGCCGAGCTAAGAGCGGAATACCTCAAGATCCTCAAAACCGGCACATCTGCCGCATTCGTGGATGGCAAATCAAGCCATGAGTACCGCGCCGAGCGCTTTCAGGGTGTTATGAACGCTTTTGGTATCGATTGTACGGAGCAGCAGATGCAGGTATTGCTCGACACGTACGAAACTGCAATTATGCAGAATCTGCAACTCAAGGAAGGCGCTATACCACTCCTTCAAACACTCAAACAACAAGGAAAGAGCATAGCGATCATCACCGAAGGCCCTCAAGATTCGCAGGAACGTACGGTTGCTGCTTTGGGCTTAGAGCCGTATTTCGACAGGCTTGTTACAACGAATAAGCTTGGTGTGGCGAAGATTGACGGTCTTTTTGGCAAGGCGTTGGAGATGATTGGTGTGAAGAGCGAGGAGGTGGTCATGGTGGGTGACAGCTGGGATAGGGATGTTGTTCCCGCGGTGGAAGCGGGTATCACGTGTGTGTGGTTAGCTGAGAAAGACGAGGGAGGAGAGAGGATGGTTGCTTTGGGAGGGGAAGAGAAGAGAGTGATGGTAGTGGATTCGTTGGTTCGGTTGCAAAGCATAGTCCTAGAGTCCTCGTATTGATGGTTGACAAGTCTGCAGGACATATTGCGCAAATACGCAACAGAGAAAAAGCATGAAATATACGATCATCTTTGAAATCTATCTGATGTGTGATGAGGAAATGTGACCTAGGTTTTACGCCTGTTGGGCTCCGGTGGTGTCCTTGCCAAATCCGACGAAGTCAATATCCCAAACCATCCCATCGGGCAAACGACTCCCGTCCTTGTCGAGGGGATACCCTTCCTTGTCAAGGATGTTTCCATCCTCGTCGACGAGGTTCCCATCTTTGTCGATAAGGTCCCCCTCCTCGTTGATGAGTCTCCCATTCTCGTCAACCAGGTTCCCATCCTTGTCGATAAGCCCTCCCTCCTCATTAATAAATCTCCCTTTCTTGTCGACAACATTCCCATCCTCGTCGATAAACTGTCCCTTCTCGTTGACGAGCTTCCCTTCTTTACGAAGGTTCCCATCCTCATCTCTATATGGCATCGTTTCCATGGCAGCCGGCGCCATAGTGCGCAGGTAACCATCAGTCGGCTTCCTTTGCTTCAATTTCTAGTTTCTCTAGTCAGCTTTGCTGGACTTGGAGAAGAAAGGTCCATGTAACACTGCGGCAAAAGAATCCTTCAAAAGAAGAAGTCACGTACCTTCTCCCTCCAAAACCTCGAGCTCTGTTTGAAGTGTACACCCTTGAAAGAGACGGCATGTCCTCCAGGTTCCTACTTGTTCTTAGTAATGATAACTGTCGGATAGGAATAGGTATGCATACATTGTATATTCTGTGCTGGTTCATATCGCTCTGGGAGTCGCGCGAAGTAGTGAGTCCGAGTTTGCCGATATTTGTCGCCCCGAGTTCGGCTCCGAGATCAGTCGTACTGCCCGTCTTGTTCCACATGGCAATATCGCACTCCTCCGTCACCCATGTGTCCATGACGACCCAGACGCCATAGTCCTTGATTTGTTGAGGATGGTTACCGATCATAGCTGTCATATTATCTTCGATCCATTTCATAATGATACCGAGCGCCTTGGTATTGAGATAGTGGTGTATCACGTGTGGAGATACTGCCACGCCTGCGCGAAGGTTCGCAGTGCTTCCTATTTCGAAATTGGCTCCCACATCCACAGGTGCTTGAGCAGCAATTCCGGACACCTCTGCTTTGCCGCCAAAGCCGCGACCCTCGTGATTCTCCGAAAGCTGTTTCTTCCATGTGCACGTTGTCGGGTCCGCCAGAACGAGCGGCTTGCTGGGGGGTTGGTAGTCAGGGTCTTTGATGTCCGCAAGATCAGTAATCAATCTCCAGAGTCCGTCATCGTCGAAGTAGCCGCAAGAGCCAGGATGAAAGACTTTGGAATTGGGTGGTGTGTACAAGTAGGTGCCGTCGGGGCACTTCTCCATGAGAGTGGCGTATGCTAGATCCATTTCGCTGTCGTGGTTGTTTAGAAATATAAAAGGTTCAGGATGAAATGCAAATGGAGTGACTGAAGTCTGGTCTTCTCACTCTTGGGCGATGCCCTCTATATATGCTGCCCAAGTTGCTTACCTCGACGAAAAAAAAAAGAAACGGACATACGCTATGAGCTGAGAGTCACTGTCTGCAGCTTGTCAAGCCATATCCCTAGTACTCTGGAGTAGCTAGATTAACCCCAACAGTAATCGCCGAACAGAGGATACAGCTGCGAAGTTTTGGGCAAATGACGGGCTGCGCAAAGGTGTTGCCAGTCAAGCACCAATGGACGGCTCCGCAGATCATGGAGCACAGCGAGGCTATCGAAGATCATTTCCTCACTCTTATGTTGATCGATAGGGCATAGCGAGAGTATCGACAATCGTTCCCACACCTTTATGTCGATTGATAGGGTGGCACAGTGAGGGTACTGGAAATCATCTCCACCTATATGTAGTGATCGCTGGGGCGGCCCGCGCGCCATCGGTAGTTCCGAAGGTACAAAGGTTGTACGTTACCCGCGGAGCGACGCTGTCATGTACCGTCGTCCTAATACACAATATGTACCAGAGCTTTGCGCTCGTGACTTTGCGCGAGGCTACAAAGGCGATCAATTGTTTGTGCTTGTAAATTCGTGACGAATATGTCCCGTCGATTTCTGCGAGTTTCGGTACGCCAACGCATATCCGAACTTCGATCCTGATCGCACCTGCGTCATTGAAAGTTTATAGTCTGGACTCCCGACCAGAGTGCTGTATGTGGAGATGGTCGAAGCTTCCTATGATGTTGTTGTGTCGTCAGAAAGCCGCCATATCTGGTGGATCTAAGCGAGGTGGGCCTGCTGCGATGGCATTCGTCGTGGGCTTCTGCGGGTTTGACTCGATCGAGTGGCCGCGAAGCTATCCGGCAGCCGCCATCAGTGTGTCAGTGGACTCGTGTTGAGAGGGACGTCGCGCTATTTGCGTACTCGAGAACGCGTCGTTAGCGCACACGTCGCGAGAGCTGTCAGTGTCAGTGTGCTCCGTGCGCAATCTCGGCATTCGCTCCCGCGGTCCATGAGTCTTGCCGATGAAGCAAAGGACTAGCACGGCCTTAGCATCGATCACTTCTGCACAAGACAGCAAATCAACCACGATGAAGGTTTGGGACAATGGCAGATGTTATGATCGCGTCTCTGAACTCGCCCAACGTCACAGCTGACATGGCACCCGAATGTTTAACGTAGGCTCGGGACTGAGGAGGCGCTTCGCTGACCACCTGTAACGCGGCTTGGAGGGGTATAAAGTCACTGTTAGAATAAGAGCGGGATGCCCCTATTGTGCGTACTGCAGCAATCGTATGGGAAGTATCTGAAGCTCAATGAACTAACCCATCGACTCCATACCTCCCTTTCAGTCTCGCCATCACACTCCATTCCGTCCATCCCGACTCACATACCACATAGCCTCATGCCCATCACACCTCACCGTCCCTCTCGCCGCCACCTTCCCATCATGCAAATGCGCAAACCGCTTAACCGCCTCATCGATGATATCAGCCATATCCTGGTTATTCATATCGAACGAGAACTCATGCGGCGTATTGGGTATAGCGCCAATACTGAACCCGCAGGGAAATTGGTGCATGTGTTGTTGGTAACCTTCTGGTTTGCCTGTGGAATTTCGGTGTTAGTGGGGTGATGAGTGGAGGTACGGGCTGGATTTACCTTCTAGTTGGACGATCCATTCACCGGCGTCTCCGAAGATACTGAAACACGACTCCTGGCATTCTGTTGTGGTGGGTGGGTTGGCTGCGGAGAGGGTGGTGTCTTCGTAGGTGAGTGTGTCGCAGTGGCCCAATGTGCTCTTGTCGCCTTCGCAATAGTTGATGTCTGGGGAGAGTTGGGCTGCTATGAGGGTGGAAGCGAGGAGGCCAAGAAAGAGAGTTGATGCTGCGTGCATATTGATGGCTTGACCTGGTGAGTTGAGAGTGATGGTGTGGAGTGGAAAATGGGTTGTGAAGGAAAATGAGGTCGTCTTGTATGTGTTGACATGATTCTACGCCTTACGCATACATACGAGGTGCATCACAGCGTAGGGTAGTTATTGGATGGAACATGGACTGATGTGAGACGTGCAGCGGTGATGCGAGGTAAGTCATATACCCGCGGGGATCTTCAGATGAAGTGACGAATCAGATTAAGGACCGCATGTTTATCGACGAACAACAGACCATGATCTACATACCCGCCACTACGGCGTAGCCCATTCACACACCATAAGCTGCATGCGCGCCTAAAACCCCAGACCAGCGCGTCGAGATACATGAGTTATACCACCCATGTAACTATCTGACATACTGACACCGTGCCCATTCGACGCTTCGATCCTTTTCTTCGTCACGCTTCTTAATCAGCTACTGAGAGTATTCCAAATGCTACAACTCAAACTGTCTGCTCTTACGATCTTCCCCAGTCTTCTTGCGACCTTCCCTAGCTCGCTTCCAACCATCATCGTATCGCTTGCGAACTACAACATATTGCTTCCGAAGTTCCTCAGCTCGCTTTTGTACTCGCGCTAATTCATCCTTCGAAAGTACATCACCACCCCGGAAGACAAACGTGCGGTCGAAAACTTGCTTCTTAATCTTGCCGAGTAGACTCAACACTTCATCGGACTTGGCCGGCTTGTCCTCAGTACGCGACTTGGAAGAGATGTGGATGCGGCCATCGTTAGAGCCCAGCGGTGGACTACTAATCTGGCTCGTCTGCTCGACGAAGTCTCGCCACAGCGCGTTTAGCTCTGTCTGAGTAGCCTCGGGCATGTCGTCAAAATCGAAGTACTCATCGTATATAGCGTCGATTCGATCCTCTATCTTTGCAAGCTTACGCGACTTTGCAAGCTTACGCGAAGGCGTGTCCTGGTTGATACGCGGTGACTCACTGTCGTCTTGGTTGAGACGCAGTGTCTCCCCGTCGTCTTTCATGTGGATAGAACCAAACCGCTCAACGAGACCTTCCACACGGAAGATCGAATGTTCGAGTTCTCGATTTAGGATAATGAAGCGTGTGTTGAACTCCTCTTTCACAGCTGGGTCGATATCAAGTGAGTTAGTGGTAGCTTGAACTCTGTCTGTGAACGTGGACACAGCCTTTTTGGCGTTATCGAGAGCGAGCATGGCACGATTGCCAGCGGTGGCGATGCTCGCTTGTACGGAGGCTTTTGGCGGGGCGGAGGCGGACACCAGGCAGGCTAGGCTAGCGAAGAGGGTGGTAGTCGTGGACAGCTTCATGTTTGTGACGCGTGACTGTGGGTGTAAGGTTGAGAGATTGAGTAGAGGCGGTGGATGGGGAGGGGATCAGAAGTTAGACTGGTGGTACCATATATACATCGAGGGAAGAAGCAAGAGGGTGATTCACGCGTGGACCGTGCTGTGAGAAGGCGAGTGAGCTGCCTATCGACGACATGCTTTCACTATCTACGGAGGACTAGCAGTGTCTTTCACGCGTGGTTCCATGTAGTGAGACAAACTTATGCACACTTGGATAAAGGTAGCAAACAATATGGGGTATCCTAACACATCCAAACAACTCGCTCAAACAGAGACGCCGCGCAATGCTTTAGAGAACATGTAACAGAACCATGACCTCCCTACTTTTCACAACCCACCCATCTGACTAACCTCTCCAAACCCCACTCTCGCCCTACCACCTCTTCCCCTACTCTTCCTCATCGCACTCCCACTCCCACTTCCACCAACAGCAACACTCCCCCCAAACCCACCTTCCCTCAACCTCCTCTCAAAACTCGTCACACCACCAACTCCCAACCTCACATCCCTCGCACTCTGCACAGGCGGCGCACTCATAGTCCCCAACCTACCCCTTCCTTCCCTCTCCAGGAACGAGGAGCCCAGCGGTCGCCTCACAGGAGAAAGAACGCGTGCTTTCTCAGGACTAGGTGGGAGTTCAGGTCGTTTAGCGCGCACAACGCTGCGTTTACTGGGTGTTTTGAGGTAGCCTGGTTTACTGCTTGTGGTAGGTGGAGGCGGCAAGGGCGTTCCGGACCAGAAAGTGGATTGTGCGGCGTCGCCGAAAGAGAGGTCGGATTCGTCGTCTTCGGGGATGGTTGCGGGAGGGGGGCGGGCGGCAGATTGAGGTTGCGGGTAGGTATTGGGCCGACGGAGTATTGAGCCTGGGGGGCGGGTTGATGCGGGTGAGGGTATGGGAGCGTAGGGGTTGGGGGTCAGTGTTGGATGGCGGGGTGGTTGTTCTGGCGTGAGAGACAGGGAGAGGTCAAGATCGTTGTTAAGACCCAAAGCGGTCTCGTCGAAGGCGGTCCAGGACTCGAGTCGTTGCGTTTCGTCGCCGGATTGCTGGAAGCCTCCTTGCCCGACATCGTTGTTGCTGTCATTGTAGGCGAAGTCTTCGTCATTTCCGTGACCGTTGTAGTCATCGCCATCATCTTGTCTGCGTCTTCTCGACCTACTAGGAGGCGATGGACTCGCAACCCGTTGGCCACGCCGCTCGGTAGCACGCTCGGCCCAGAAACGAACCATGGCCCTAACATGCTTCTCAAAGTTCCTCTCGAACAACGCTCTCGCGTTCTCCTCTTGCCTCTGGAAGTTCCAAAGACGCCAGCCCATCTTCTTCAGAGCACCAGTGGCAGCAATCTCTGTGCTCTCCTGCCGCAGAGCGACAGCTTGCCCTTCAAGTGTGTGTACAAGGTCCATGCGTTGTGACCAGATGGCGAAGTAACGGGTGGAGAGTTTGAAGGTGTGGAGGCTCTCGGCTTGGGCATCCTGCTGGCGGAGTATGAGCGTGCGGTCGTGCCATTGGTGCAAGATTGCGCCACTGCTTTGGAAAGTGCGATTGTCGAGTACATCGTTTGCCCTTTGTGTCAGCACTGCAATGTGGTTTGCCTTGTCCCGCCAGTGCTCAAAGACTCTGCGCACGAGATTCGTCTTGACCATTCTACGGACTTGCGAGTATGTGTCGCGTCTGCGATTACGGCGCGCATGTTGTGTGGCTTGGCTCCATGTGTTCAGTGTGTGTTTGCTAAGGACGTAGAAGCGCGCATCGGCCGACCATTGGTTCAACTCTTGGAAGTGTGCTAGCCTCTCCTTGAGCTTGTCGAAAATGTGTTGCTTGAGCTTTTGCTGATATTGGGATAGAATAGCGAACTGCTCCCTTCTTCTCTCCGTAGTGATAGCTTCCATCTTGCGCAAGCACGTCCGCATCAGTTGAGCACGCTTGAACTGGGCAAACCGAACTTCCGCAGTATCAAGAGTGTTGACGCGCTGGTTGGTCTTGGTGACCCATGATAGGAATGTTGACTGCTTGAGCTGTCGATCGTGGACACGCTGGAAAAGGGATACTCGGGATGCTAAGGTCCATTTGTACAAGCATTCAACAATGATCCGGTCGTTGATCCGATCCTCGAGAGCTTTGATGCGCAATCTGTCATTCCAGGCAGTGTAGGCATTGCGTAGGACGCGCATGCGGTCAACATTGCGTGCTTGACGAGATAGCTGAGCGTCTTTGCGCCAGTCCTGGAACTTTGCACGAAGCAAACGGCCGTTGGTGCGTGCTTGGACCTGGCGCAGTAGTGGCTCAAGTTGTGCCTGCCTCTGGAGTGTCTGGACCGTCGTTCGAAGGAGTGAGGTCTGTCGAAAGCGGTCCGCCTGCGAATGCAGACTCGTCACTGCGGCTGTCTTCTGCTGCCACGTCCGGAATGTCTTTCGCATGAGCGTTCCATCTCGTCGATCCGTGGCCCACATGTTCCGCTCTCTCATGATCTCGGCGATCTCGCGCCATTTCTGCAGTGTTGTCCTTGCTGTCCTTGTGTCATGCCAGTTGGCTGCGCCTCTGTTGAGGTACTCGTTGTTGAGAGCATTCCACGATTTCCGGACAATCTTCTCTTCGTAGTATGATTCAGCGAAGTCATTGCGATCCTGCAATTTTGCTGCGCGTGCTCGCCATTTAGAGAGGAACTTTGCGAGAGCAAAGTGCTGGATCTTCAGCTCGTTGACTGCCGTGATATCGCGCCAGCCGTTGAAGAAGCGTGTGCGTAGAATATGCCGTCGCGCAACCGATGTTCGCTGAACCTCGTCCTCCGCACACTTTGCCCAATGTGTGAATGCCTTGGTGAGCAGAAACAGACTGCGAGCCTTGTCTGCACGGGTTTCCAGCCGATCGAAGAAGCGATTCGTCTCTCGACCAGAACGCCTTACAAGCGCGGTGTCGCGCAGCTGCAAGAGAGAGGCTCTGAGCAAGACGCGACGATCAAAGGCGACAGCTGCTCTCTCCATATCGTCGCGCATATTCATGCGCTCTTGCGCGCGGTTCCGCCATATCCGTATACATTCTCTCGTCACTCGGTGTAGCCGTTGCTCTTCGAAGGTTTCCGCATCGTCCATCAATCGGGTATCGGAGGGTCGAAACGGTTCGGGGACATATTGTTGGTGTTGAGTCTGTCGTGACTGTTGAAGGCGGCGCTGGTGCGGGGAATCGTACGGATCGTTCGGTATCGGCGCGTTCACTCCTGGTATCTGGATTGAGGAGAGGTCGAGGCTAGCCGTGTGGTCGGTGAAATCGCTCTCGTCTGCATCATTTGTACCAGTTCTGTATGTCGTTGTGGGATTCCTTCGAATTCGCAGACTGCCGTAACTCGAGACAGATGTACTGCGCTTGTGAACCGGCGGCTGCGGTCCGGAACTTGATCTCCGAGGCGCGATACCATTCACTTTGGGGTGACTGGGAAGTGGCGCTGGCCGGTACGAATGCGCTTCGGTGTCTGACGTTGCGCGCCGGTGGTTGCGCGTGTTGGCATAGCCATCAGGAGCATTCTGCTGTGATGCTCTCCTCGGGCGCACAGCCAGATCGCCATAGTCGGTGCCTGCGACCTTGTCTGCCGTGCCATCAAGGAACGAGTCGAAGCTCCCGGTTCTCGTATACCGCCCTAGGCTCGCCTGCGCCCCTCTACGCGTCGCGTCAATGTTATTCGGGACTTCAACGACCTCTTCGTCGCCGAGCTCTCCATTGAGGCCGAAATGCTCCTTCACCACGCGCAGAACCAGCGACATCAAGTCTTCGCCTTCCCGCGCATATTCCTGCATGCGCAACAGGAAACTGTAGTAGAGAGCGGCATCGGTGGGCGAAGAACGGTGCTCCTTGACATATTCATCGTATGCGATGAAGAGGGCGTCAATGGATCCATCATAGGAGTCTTGCGCGCGAAGGACGATATTGTGAATGGCATCGGAGACTATGGCCTTGTTAGTATATTTATGGATCGTGTTTTTGCAATGATTTTACCTTCATCCCGACAAAGATCATCAGCTGTTATAGCCCTCGCATCATCTCCATTCAGCCTCATGGAGGATAGCATTCGTGCACGCGACTCGTTCGTCTCCGGCGCGTTCGCGACAACATGGAAGGGACCGGCGGGAATGATTCGAACAGCGACCAACAAAAAGCAGCGGCATGCGAGAAAGTAGTCGTGGGTTCGTCGCGCAACAATTAAGCATTACAAGTCCAAAGTAAGAAGAGAGGAGTGATGAAGGGCTGTTGGTGCGCCCGCGTTTTGGCGTTGCAGCGACGCGCTTTGTTGTTGGAGTGGTTGGCCGCCCGCGTTCGTGGATGCGAGGGCGCCAAGGCTTTAGTTGGGTGGGCCCTGTTCGTTGACCTCATCGAGGTGGAAGAGCGTGGGCTCGCCGTGTCCAAAGAACTTCACGTATCTTGGAGAGACTGATTCTTGTAACACTCCAACACATAATACACGAGAGAAATACTCAGTACTACTCGACATGCCCGGTCGAACACGTCCCATCGATAAACTCGCCACAGCGGCTGCAAAATGCTCGACGGAGGTATGATACGCCCCTCAGTGACAGTCAGGTTCAACTCGATGCTGACATACTCCAGAGCGCAGTATACGGCAAATGCATCTTCGCAGACTACAATAACGTACGGAAAGACATGTGTGTCAACGAGTTCATGAAGCTCAAGGAGTGCTATCTGGTAATGTCTCCTCACCGCATCAAAAGCCATGACAACTAACCCCCGTTACAGAAGGCATATAAGCAGCGGTGACAGCACTTGTAACGACACTTCTTCATCATAGAATCACACAGCATACGAAGGCGTTCGGTGTAAACATGGAAATTTTGATTTGATTTCATCAACGATTCATGCAGCGCCACCACACTATCAAACCACACGATAACGCTACTATAGCTTGATCAACCGCAACATGAAAGTTGCCTTGTGGAGCTCTTGCTCTTCTTCCGCAATGACATTCTCGTTACTGTTCTCCGGAATCTTGCCCTCAACCTCAGTGATGACGTGCTTGTCCACAGGTCTTCGCAAAGCCTTCTCAAACAATGGGCCCTGGTTCTCAAACGCGTGCTCCAGTCCTACACTTTCCGGATCGCTCAGCACTCGGTACTCCATGCCTACGTCGTCGGTTGGCACCAGTCCGGCCTTCTTGCGCAGATCTTGTACACGGCGGATGACCTCACGAGCGAGGCCTTCTTGCTCGAGCTCTGGATATGAGGCGACGTCGAGGAGAATGAGGACATCGTTGTCTGTGTTGAACTCCTGGTCCTTGTTGCTAGAGTCCTTTGCGAGACCGCGCTTGACCATCAGATCCTCAGCCTCAAGCTTGATGCCGTCCACGACAATCTCGCCGTTCTTCAGGTAGTCCTTGATATCTTGGCTCTTGAGGTTTGGTAGCGCCTTCTTGACCTTGATGGCGTCCTTTTTCAGCTTCTTGCCAAGCACGGAGAAGTCGGCCGTAGCTGAGTACTGGACGTTGTACTTCTCCTCATCGCTAGAGAGCACGATATCGCGGACGTTCAGCTCCTCCAGGATGTAGTTCTCCAATGACTTGATGTCGTCAAGATATTGTTGTTCTGGGTGGATGACCACCAGCGTCTTCAGCGGAATCTTCAAGCCCTTGTTGGCACGGTCACGGCAGATACGGCCAAGCTCAATGACTGACTGCATGCGCTTGACTTGGCGCTCAACATCCTCGTCAAACAGCTCCTCGCGCACTTCTGGGAAAGGAAGGAAGTGGATACTTCGGTTATCTTCCGCGTGCAGTTCCTTGGGGATGTGAGGTAGTAATCGCAGGTAAATGTTGTCCGTGATGAAGGGTGTGAAGGGCGCGAGACCGCGGCAGAGTGTGTAGAGAACTTCGAAGAGGGTGTTGAGAGCGTGTTTGGTGTCCTTCAGACCGTGCTCACCCTTTAACCGGCGACGGTTGAAGCGAATGTACCAGTTTGTTGTGTTATCAATGAGCTCCAATAACCGCGGAACCACGGTGTACAGCCTGTACGCAGCCATCTCCTCGTTCACGAACTTTAGCAGCGACTGGGTGGACGCGAGGATCCATCGGTCGAGCACGTTCTTGTTGGTCTTTCCAGCTGCCGGGTCGAAAACGAAGTCCAGACTCTCGACCTTCTTCAGTAGCGAAACTTGTTGCTCGAAGAACTGGTAGCTGTTCCAGAGAGGTAGAAGAACCTTGGAAACAATCTCCTTGACACCAGCTTCCTTGAATCGAAGTGTCTCAGCACGAACGACGGGAGAGTTGATGAGGTATAACCGCAGCGCGTCAGAACCGTAGTTGGTCATGATCAAGTTGGGGTCGGGATAGTTCTTGAGACGTTTTGACATCTTTTTGCCATCTTCCGCAAGTACGATACCGTTAACGACGCAGTTCTTGAAAGGAAGCTTGCCAAAGAGATGTGTTCCAAGTACGGTGAGTGTGTAGAACCAACCACGAGTCTGGTCAAGACCTTCCGCAATGAAGTCACCAGGGAAGGACTTCTCGAATTGCTCCACGTTCTCGAATGGGTAATGCGCGCTGGCGTAGGGCATGGATCCAGACTCGAACCAGCAGTCAAAGACCTCATCTGTTCTTCGGAGAACACCCTTGCCGTCTTTGCTGGGAATGGTGATGTGGTCGATCTTATCCCGGTGAATGTCGGTTAGCTCGCCCTCATACCCGCTGAGCTTCTTCAGCTCCTCCACGCTACCAATGCAGACCACCTCTTTGCCGTCATCGCTGACCCATATCGGAAGTGGCGTACCCCAGAAACGGTTTCGTGAAACAGCCCAGTCAGGTGAGTTAGTGATCCAGTTGGCGAAGCGCTTCTCCTTGACGAAGGAAGGAACCCAGTGCGAACCAGCAATGTTTTCCAGCATTTGCGGCACAATGTCCTGGATCTTGATGAACCATGAAGGAACCGTTCGGTAGATCAAGGGTGTGTCAGACCGCCAGCAGAAGGGATAGCTATGAAGAAGTTGTGAGTCTACGATCAAGCGACCGGTGCCTTTCAGATGCTTGATAATGCCCTTGTCTGCTGCCTTGACGTGTTGGCCCTCGAAGTCGCGGACAATGGCAGTAAAGCGACCCTGGTCATCGACTGGGTTGGGTGGCGGTCGTGTGTCGGAGATGACACCGTGGGCCTTTGCAACGCGGTAATCGTCCTCTCCGTATGCGGGGGCCTGGTGAACGATACCCACACCACTGTCTGCTGTGACGTAGGTATCGTTCGCCACCTTGAAGCCGTAGTCCTTGAACTCGTCGTAAAGGTAGTCGAACAGGGGCTCGTACTTCCAGCCCAGCATGTCCTTACCCTTCAGCTTCTCCACGACCTTGAACTTAGCCTTCTTCGGATCCTTGTATAGTGTGCGTAGCAGGGCTTCGAGCAGGATGTAGTGTTTGCCGGACGCTTCGTCGAGAATCTTGACGTATTCGAAATCGGGATGCGCGCAGAGACCGGTGTTGGATGGGAGTGTCCAAGGCGTGGTGGTCCTGTTCGGGCTGGTCAGCGCAAGCCATTAGCCCTGAATTGGAGTAAGTAGCTTACCATGCCAACAAACACGTGTTTGGGTCGTCGAGCAGCGGGAATGTGACGACTACCGCTGGGTCCTGAACGTCCTTGTAGTTCTGCGAGGCCTCGAAGTTGCTGAGAGGCGTCGCCAACGCTGTGCTGTAGGGCATGACCTTGTAGCCCCGGTATACCGCGCCCTTGTCGAAGAGGCGCTTGAAGACCCACCACTCCGACTCCATGAAGCTGGTGTCCATGGTCTTGTAGTCGTTGTCGAAGTCGATCCAGCGACCCAGACGGTCGATAGTCGCCCTCCATTCGGTCGCATATCGCATGACAATCGCGCGGCACTTCTTGTTGTACTCGGAGATTCCGATTTCGCGTACAGCGTCGCGTCCCGACATGCCCAATTCCTTGTCGATCTCGTACTCAATGGGCACGCCATGAGTATCCCAGCCGAACCGTCGCTCGACATAGCGGCCCTTCATGGACCAGTAGCGGGGGATAATATCTTTAATGGTCGAGGCCAGGAGATGGCCATAATGCGGCATTCCTGTCGCGAAAGGCGGTCCATCGTAGAAAGTGTATGGTTGCTTTCCTTTCGACTATGGCGGGTTAGCAAGTGTCGACCACACGTGCTTGGGTTCACTAGGCTGTAGCATAGTCACGTACTAGCTCGACTTGTCTCTGGAAGGCGTCAATCTCCTTCCAGCGCGCGAGGATGCGCTCCTCCTCGCTCGGAAAGTTCATAGACATGGTGGCGGCGTGAGTATGCTGAGACAGAGCCGTGGCGGGGAATCTTTTTCTAGAGCCTAGAGTTGACTCCTCCGATCCCCGCCATTAGCGTGACTCAACCGCTTATCGATAGCACCCCGCCATACCTAGGCATCGGCGGCGGATGACTCCTGCAACTAACAACATCTTCCCGGTCATACGAAGCCTGCCTCACTACATTGATGTCTTGTCTTCGCCAGCCATATCCACCAAACCCATTCAGTCGTATGTCCACTAGCTATGTGCGTCCTAGACTTGATCAACCTAATAATCTAATAATCGTAACTGGAACCGTCAGAGCATACTCATCATGAAACGTCGCATACATACATCTTCGTTGCGGCTCTGCGGCAACTGAGAAGGTTGAAACATTGACAGGTCTAGCTAATTCCAAGCCGATGTGGCAACCATCACCTCGCCTTTTTGTCTGGGCATTCTCATTACATACTTCTGATCAACAATGCGTTTTCCGATACTCCTTATCACTCCATTCTTTACGCTGATAGTAGCCTCAAACGACCCGTTTAACAATCTATCTGTTCAGTCTCTACAGAGCGGTGATACGACCATCAATACCAGAGATGCCGAAATCGACAAGACATGTAGACGCTTACGTACGTTGACACAGCTCAACAGGATCGCACATAACGAGACCCTCATGGACATGATGATCATGCGCGACAAGTTCGCTCAACCACGCATCGACTGGATCAAAAGCAACAGTGACGACATCACTGCCAAACTCGACAAGCTGACATCCAACTCAACTCTCACTGCCGAATGCAACACCATCAATGCGCAGCGCGAGACAGCTCGTCAATGCAAAGCATTGGAGATATTGGAAAGGCTGGTAAACTCAACGAATGGCCAGCCCGGTACCAATCCAGGTCCTGCAGCGGATTTTCTCAGCGATGAGCAGAATCAGAAATTACAGCAAAAGTTCGAGAAAGCGGAACTCAAGCTGCAGCAACTCAGGAGTAATACTACATTGATGGGTCTCTGTAGCAATGACGTCGTATCGCAGCAGAATGGCGCCATTGGAAGTCGTGAGCATTTTTCTACAGTGCGAAACCGAAATGTACTGACTTACATACAGAAGTGGTTGACAACAGCGGCGCCATCAGCATGACGAAAAGTAGTGCAAGGAGTAATGTGCATGAATCAGGAAATGCTTCATCGCTGATGATTTTCGTGGTTCTGATGACAGTGTCGATGCTGTAGTACTCCCTTTCTTTATGTTGAAAACAATAGCCGGATAAATCGCGTCACTTCGTCGCTTTTTGCGGTTGCATGCATAAAGAATTGGGGCACGTGGCGGGGTGTTCGACGACGTGCATGTTGTGGCGTAGCCGTAAAGATGTGCGAACTCAATTCCAAGTCATGGTCATCTCATCAATATTTACCATGGTCAATGCGATTCTTTGTGGCACAGCTCTGCCTGCATAACAGAGAACGACAGAGCATCTTTACCGGACATGTCGATGACAATGACGAGCAATACCAATCGCGCATCTATGCATGATAAACCCGTGCGTTGTACGCCACAAGGGATACCCTTATTTGTGCCAACGATAACTACACCGCGTCTCCGATCAAAACGCTCCGTTTCTGTGCTGGTTTACCCCATCCACCCACTCTTTCGGGCTTGACTCTCGTCTTCTGAGTTGCCCTCAAGACACCCAGTGGTATGGCGACATTCGACTTCGGCGACCCACCCCCGGGCCTTAATCTCAGCGAGTCCCGGACAGTCGGAAACAGCGTTGTCGCAATCATCTTGTTTGTTCTTTCTGGTGTGTTTGTCGCACTGAGGCTGTTTACTCGCCTGAAGTTGAAACAGGAACAGCTGGGGTGTGATGACTACTTGATCGTTGCTGGACTGGCATTGAACGCGGGGAATCTTGCGTGCTGTATCGTTGGTTGGTGGCCAATTGCTGGGCAAAAGTCTTGATCTTACTAACTCAATAGAAAGGTGGTTTCTATGGCTTGGGCAGACACATCTGGGCTCTAGGGCCAGAACAAATGCGACATATAACTATCGTGTGTTTGCATGTCTAAGCGTACTTTTACGGGACTAACATCAAACAGATCACTTTCGCATACGTATTTGTCTACGCCTGGAGTATCTGTGTCATCAAACTCTCCATCCTCGCCTTATATCGACGCATCTTTGGTATCAATTGGCTGGGTTGGTTCTGTGTTGGCATGACCGCTGCCTACCTGATCACAAACCATGTCGTTCTGCCATTGTACACTCGACCGTTGAGCTACTACTGGGATCAATGGAATGGGGCTCACGGAGAAATTCTCGTCGATGAGGCGAAGGTGCGTCCTAGGTGCGTTCACTCTGGATGAAGCTGTCTGCTGATACATTGGCAGTTCTACCTTGGCGCCGGCATCTTCAATCTCTTCGGCGATGTGTGTATACTTTGTATACCAGTATCCAACGTTGTCAAATTGCAGATGAAAAGAATGGAGAAAGTGGCGATCTGCTTTATCTTCCTACTCGGCAGCTTGTGAGCACTCCGAAGTAAGATATCCGTATTATTTCTAATCGTCGTAGTGTGTGCTTTGCCTCGCTTTATCGTATCATCACCATCGTCCGATTGATGGCCTCGCCAGACGTCAGCTGGAAAAAGAGCGATGTCTTCATATGGTCATCCGTCGAGCCATCGATTGGCATCATCTCTGGATGTCTTCCAACGCTTCACCCGCTTTTGATTCGTATAACGCGCTGTTTGGCAGGTGCACTCGGTGTTACACCGAGCCATACTCCGGAGCAGGAGGGCCCTGAGAGTCGCGAGACTGGGTCGAGGACGATCAACGCTTGGACAGAACGCTGGGGTAGAACTCGGCCAGCCGAAGAAGATTTGTGCTTGACTACGACAACAGTGTGCGGATCTGCTAATGAAAATGATGGGATCACCTGGCAAGACTTCATCCTGGGACGCCATGAAGAGAGGAGGATTACTATGACGCATGAGTTTGCGATAGACGAGAGCATACGGAGTCGCAATAGCTCAAGATGAGACTAAGCTTTTCACGTTGCTATGAGATGAGCTTTGAAGCATGTCAGAGATCACCATTGGTAGCTGAAGCGACGACCACGTTCGTTGGAGGACTTCAGTCGCGAGGTAGAAGGGAAGGCGGCCGTGTTGGCGGCAGTTGAGTAGGGCGCGCCGCTGCAGATACTCGGTATGGAGGGCGAGAAGGGTCGACTTCAACAGACATCATCCGAAGTTTCTGGGATGATGCAGGTGTCTGAGTTGTCGACTTCGGAAGTCCGTCGCACCTGTCGGGTGCATGCAAGCTAGCGCGGAAGGGCCTCCAGGTCACATGTCTGCCTTAGGGCTCGGCGCGACCGCCGAAACCCCGCAATACTACTTCGTCTCTTCTTCCTCCACTGAACTGACACCTGCGCACGATTTATCCGTCAAATATGCACAATGACTGTGAGGCGTCCGGACATAAGCCCCCAATCTGTTTCCTGGCCGGCGCGAGGTGTGACACGGCGTACAACCTTGGAAGCCTTGAGTTCGCGATGTCGGATTCTTGGCTATACCTTGGCCATACCACCTGAGAAGGAACTCTAATGGAAGATCCACGACTCATTGTCCCATTGACACTGCGTTCGGCCCGTATGCTACGATTGCAAGAGAATTGAGAAGATCAAGGTAGATCATTCACTTCTACAATCATTGAAGAATGTCGGGACATGGTGCCGGTCTCCGCATTTTGCACCCCGCATCTTGCTAAATGTAGCTTGTCAAGTCTACCGTACTTTTTGCACTGAGTATAAAGAGTGCTTGTCGCTGAAACCCCATGATGGTCGTTCCCAAGTCTTTCTTCCCGTCGATATGTTTCTTACATCGTTGGTATTGCTTGTCTCGCACTTCGCGCTGACTGGATTTGCGGCTGTGTCATCTGGATTTGAGAAGAGGTGTCTCGCATTCGAGCCCGAGAGATACATCAAAGGCGCAACCCGCAATGTTCTCCAACATGTTCCGGCAGGGACCAATTTGACGTTTCCCGATAACGACGCGACTTGCGGACGTGCTAGCCAGGTTGTCTCAGTGGATCTTTGTCGTATGGCACTGGAGATCAAGACGACCAGAACATCGAAGATCTCTTTCGAAGCATGGTTCCCGGAGGACTGGTCCGGTCGCTTTCTGGCAACGGGGAATGGAGGCATTGATGGCTGTAAGTGTTGGATGGATAGGTGGCGTGTCGAGCGCAGCGAGTACTGACTTTGACCACAGGCATCAAATACGAGGATATCGCATATGGAGCGTCAAATGGCTTCGCCAGCGTTGGCGCAAATAATGGTCATAACGGTACTACAGGAGTAGCCTACCTCAATAATCCCGAGATGGTAGTTGACTTTGCCTGGCGATCGTAAGAATGTCTCTACTACTCACAGCGCATATACTCACCGGCAATATAGTCTTCACCTAAGCGTCGAAACGGGCAAAGCATTGGCCAAGGAGTTTTATGGAAAGTGCCATACCAAATCTTACTACCTGGGCTGTTCTCTCGGTGGACGCCAGGGCATCAAGAGCGCAGAGAAATTCCCGAATGACTTCGATGGCATCGTCGCCGGCGCTCCAGGCGTCGATTTCAACAACCTCATCTCCTGGCGCGCCCACTTTTACACCATCACCGGCCCCATCAAAGGTTCAGACTTCATCTCGAAGGCAGCATGGCAGACTTGGATCCACGACGAGGTGCTACGCCAATGCGATACCATCGATAAAGTCAAAGACGGCATCATCGAGGACCCGACCCTATGCAAGTTTGACCCTACAACCCTACTCTGCGGTCACAACATCACAAATACCACCAATTGCCTAAACGACAACCAAGTGCAGCAACTCCAGAAAATCTTCAGCGACTACCGTTTCCCAAACGGCGAGCTAATCTACCCGGCCATGCAACCCGGCAGCGAAATCAACGCCGTCGACAAACTCTACGCCGGCGCCCCCTTCGCCTACTCAGACGACTGGTTCAAATACGTCGTCTACAACGACCCAACGTGGAACGCATCGGAATATTGTTACGATGACGCGCAAGCAGCGCAAGATCTCAATCCAGGAGATATTCGCACCTACCCTTCTTCTTTGCATGGATTTAAGGAAAGCGGCGGGAAGTTACTCATGTACCACGGCCAGCAGGACAACCAGATCACGTCTTTCAATACCAATAGATTTTATGAGCATGTTCGCGGTAACAGCACGTACGCAGAGATGGATGAATGGACGCGTTTCTTCCGTATCTCGGGCATGTTCCATTGCAGCACGGGGCCAGGGGCGTGGGTGTTGGGGCAGGGTGGGAACGCGGCGCAGGCTGGTATTTCGTTCGATGCGCAGCACAATGTTCTTGCGGCGATGGTGGATTGGGTGGAGAAGGGTGTTGCGCCGGACTTTATCGAAGGCACGAAGTTTGTTAATGATACTGTAAAGAGTGGGGTGGATTTTACGAGGAGGCATTGCAAGTATCCGGCGAGGAATACGTTTGTTGGGGGCGATTATAAAAGGCCTGACAGCTGGGAATGCAGGGCATAGGGTGAGAAGCAGAAGAATGGATATTGCGACAACATACTATGCCCTATTCCAGCGTTTCCTGATCTTGCGATCACCACCACATGATCTTGATCATCGTTACGTTGCCGTATTGATGGATCATCTCATTTTGATCTCAATAGATTCCATTTGAAGTTCGTCAGGAAGCAAAAAGTTGTAAAAACTCGGAAATCGATCACCACCAACTAGCACAAGGAAAAGCCTGAACAGTTTTGCAGCCTACATCAAGTTGAACACACGCAAAATAGATCATCTAACGTTAGTGTAGGCTCCCGGGTGTTGAATTATTTCTTGAATAAGATGCGATGCTGCTGAACGGTTGCTGTGGAGTGAGTAGACCGAAGTGCGGATTGCACATTCCTTCGGAATGCGAGCCTCGAGTTCAGACGACGCGGTGGTAACAATGCAGACACCCGTAATCGATGGGTTTCGAGAAGTTGCCTGATTTGGACTGCGCCAAGCAATGCACAACACCCTCGCTCAACTCTTCCAAACCCTGAGACCTGATACTCAACTGAAAAGCCTTGAGTTACCAGCCCACAGATTCTCTGCT